GGGGTTTGGGGGATGGGGGAAATAGGTGATGGGGATTATGGAGTGCACTTGTGATGAGCACTGGGTGTTAAATGTTAAGTATTGAATCACTGAATTGTACACCTGAAACTAATATTATACTGTATGTTACCTAATTGGAATTTAAATAAAAGCCCCCCCCCCAAAAAAGATGGATAAACAATATCCTATTTGCACTTGTTCAGTCTACCAAGATTTTTTAGGTCACCCTGAGTCCCACTGCAGGCAGACTTGTGCATATGAATTTCAAGAAGGTAAGCCATTTTATAAATAAGCTTATTTGATGCTAAAAAGGCATATACAATTGTTACACAGCTGTTGAGGTGATGAAGCTAAAAAATGATGTTCTTTTTTATAATAGTATGTTTTATGGAAATGGGGAATATATTATGTTTTATGGAAACAGGAAAATACTTTACCTTTTCAAGAGCAAACTTGGTCTCCTTTCAGATTCTCTTTTAACTTGACAGTCAGACTTTATTTACGTGATTAGAACTACTATCCTTTCTTCCAAATGTCTCTTGATTTCTTAAGATGCCCTGCTTCACCAGTAAATTATTTTGTATATTCATTATTCTTTGCCTGTGTTTCCTATTTATTTTCAGTTTTTAATTACATTGTGTCCCTAAGAGCTTTGTACCAGAGATTTATTCATCAGTACGAAAATTTTATCCCTCTCAACTTTATTAGACTATTTTACAAACTTAAAAACACTCTTCTTTTTAAAACATATCCATTAATAGTTTCTAGTAACTTCTTACACTTTTCCTTAAAAACTGAATGTCGTTTGTGTTTTTCTTATGACATTAGCCTTCCCGAATGACTGAAGAAAGCAATCAGACATGATGGTTATGTTTCTATTTTCTAGTCCCTGTATTTTCTGCATTTACAGATTATGTTTTGTCTGCTCAACTTTTTTATTTTTTTAGAGAGCGAGAGAGCGAGAGAGAGAGAGAGCGCGCGCATGCACTCATGCACATGGAGGGGGGAGGGGCAGAGGGAGAGGGAGAGAGAATCCTAAGCAGGTTCCACCCCAACACAGGGCTTGATCTCACGACCCTGAGATCATGACCTGAGCTGAAATCAAGAGTCAGACACTCAACTGACTGAGCCACCCAGGCGCCTGGGACATGCTTTAAAGATATGTATTTGTGCCACAGTTTCCTAGAACCCCCAGTGTGAGGATGATGTCCTTATACCCATGCTCACCACCCCCTCTGGTACCACCGCTCCTGGCTTTCTGGTACCACTAAACGGGCACATGCCACCACTGTCCTACAATGAAGGTTATCATAAAAGACCCAGGAAAAGCCTCAGGTTCAGAGGCTAACCTCTGGTGCCATAACTACGTGTTCAAAAGTCCTATTATTTACATCCCTGACCCAAGGGCCTAGTAATTCATTAGTTGTTACAGGAAATGATTTCTCAGAATCATCCAGCTCTTTCACAGTAATTCTGATTTTAGCAATTCTATTATGCTGTGTTTCATCTAAGATATCCAGGTATGATCAGATCATTACCTGGCTTCTTCCTTCTGTTTCTTTTCTTTTCTTTTCTTTTCTTTTCTTATGTTAGGTTAATCACCATACATTACCTCATTAGTTTTTGATGTAGTGTTCCATGATTCATTGTTTGCGTATAATACCCACTGCTCCATTCAATACGTGCCCTCTTTAATACCCATCACCAGGCTAACCCATCCCTCCACCCCCCTTCCCTCTAGAACCCTCAGTTTCTCAGAGTCCGTAGTCTCTCATGGTTCATCCTCCCCTCCGATTCCCCCCCGCCTTCATTTTTCCCTTCCTGCTATCTTCTTCTTGATAGTATAATGTATTATTTGTTTCAGGGGTACAGGTCTGTGATTCAACAGTCTTACACAATTCACAGCGCTCATAGCCCATACCCTCCCCAATGTCCATCACCCAGCCACTACTGGGTATTTCCTTCTGTTTCTGATCATGAAAAGGGGGGAGAAATGCAATCTTTTCCACACTTACTTGATCATTCAGTGGGTGTGTGTTTAGTTTGCATGGAGAGGAAATGACGGTTTAAGACTGAAGGTGGAGGGATCACATTGACAAGGAGAAATGTGCCTTCATGTTTTAAAGGCTGGGAAGAAGCCAGTGGTAGCTTCTCTGCGTCTTGAGTTTACTTTTAATGATAGCCCGTGAATCTCTTGTCCACCTGTTTTTCTCAGGAGTCTTGGAGCTTTACGACCAAGTCATAATATCCATGGAGTAAAGAGCTGTCTTCTAAGCATCACCTGCTCGGATGATTAAGATCTGTGTATGTATCTGGGCCCCAGTGGTATCAAGGGGGAATCTGACAGTAAGAGGAAAAATGGGTCCCTGATTGATTTTATTGGAAAATTTCCAAATTGGTAACCTATGTTATCCAGTTTATGCATTAGTTTAAAATAATCAAACCACTGAGTCATGCAAATATTGATCGATCCTGGTCCTTGACAAAATAATTTAAACACATCTGTGAATTATAGGTTATAGCTAATTCCTGATAAGCATAGACGAAGGTAGAAAACAGCTTAAATGATTAAAATTTGATAATAAACATTAAAATAAGATCTGATTTAATTATGTGCTATGATGAAGAACAACCATGCAGATATAAAATAGTTACCTAATTCTGACAGTAGATAATATGAACACCTTTGAACTTAATGTGGTGAAGTTGTCCCTTTCCCTGACAGGCAGTTAGTCACTGGTCCATGAGTGAGAAAATCCCCCCAAACATTTGAGTATTAAATATAATCCATAAAGAGCAGAAAAAAAAGTCTTCCATCCATCCTTGCTAAGTGTCCAGCCTTAATTTAAAGATTGGACATAAAATCAACCAGTAAAATTTTATCCATGGGATTTCTGTGACTCCCAAGTGGTTCTTTTTCTTTGAGAATTAAGTGCTGGAAATACATATATATTATAGTCCCAGATAAACTAACCCATATTATCTCAAACCAGCCATAATAATTCCTTTTAGATAGCTTGTACACAGAAGAATAGGTTGCTCCATAAAACTGGCATGGAAAATTATAAAATATTGCTTACTTTTATAATCTGTGAAAAGTAGTTAAAACACCATTTTCTGAAACCCAGGTAGAGGACTCATTTTTATCACTTGCCAGAAGAAAAAGCCTCTTTGATAAAATTGAGCACCTGCCTAAATTCTAAATTCTAAATCTGTGTTTACATGGATTTAAAAACCTCAGTTAAACTGCTGGAACAGGATGGAAATCTCCTTCGACAAGACCTGGGGGGAATTAACAAAGCTAGAGCCACACACATCCTATCTTTGTCATACCTTGTCAAGTCAGCTTCCCTCTGGCTCAGTTAGAAGTTCTCAAACTTCACCTTGCATCAGATTCACCAGGGGGAGATTCAGACAATGTTGACCCCACTTCTAGAGCTTCTGATTCTGTAGATCTGCGGTGGGGCTCAGAATTTGCATTTATAACATGTTCCCAGGTGATGCTGACGCCAGGGACCCAGCAGAGAACAACTGCTCTGGTTTGAATTCTCTAAGAAGGAATATTCTTTTTACAGGAGAGTACTTCCATATTTATGCTTCGATGCCCTGGGAGTGCTGGATATATTAACAGCCATTTAGATCATTTGTTAAAAAACGTGGCCACCGTTTGGAACCCACCACACGGGCCACGTCTGAAGTGGGGGTGGGTGGGCTACCCTCTCTCCTAAAGGGTCTGGTCACTTCACTCATGGCCTTCGTGCTGTGTGGCTTTTACCTGCACTACAAAGATTTTGGTTTATTTAATCCCTTGTGAGTTGGCTTTGCAGCATGTTAAGATAGCGCCCTTCTGTGTTTAGGGAAGCCGGGTTGCCTAATCTAAAACCCTGTATAGATGGTGTGAGAGGAGGCTCAAGGCAGGGGCTGTCAGGCTCTAGACAGCCTGACAGGCTCAGCCCTTGCCTGGGTTCGAAGTCCAGCTTGGATAATTCGCAGTTGTCAAAGAACTGTGAAAGGAGGGAGAAAAATGGACATGATTTATGTTCTTCCTACTTTTGCACTGGGGATGATTCATGGACCCGGGGATGAAAATCACAGAAATGGTAGACTTGGTGGTAGGAATAACAGATTCATTCAGTTATTTGGGAGCAAGTGGCTGGTGGAGCTCAGCCCAAGAATCTGAGGTTCCAGAAGCCAAGAACCACAACTTTTCTGTATTAATTTAAAGGACAATGAGGGAGCGCAAGAATGAATTCCAGATTTTATTTATAATAGCTAACCTTTATTATGTGTTTACTAATGGCCATTTTGCAGTAAGAGAGGCAGAGAGAGACACTGACTAGTATTCTATATTGTTACCAAGTTTTGTCTTGTACCTTTAGATAAAGTCAGTTACCCATCAATCAGATGCCTCAAAATCGCTATATATTAAAAAACTCCACCTCACCTTACACTCTCATTGGAAAATACCACCATTTTTAAGGACAACATGTATCCAAGAAGCCTAGTCCCCTTTTTTTTCCAGTATCAAAGCCAAGAGACCAGTCAACACAAGAGAAATTTTTCCAAAGAAACACAGAACCATTTGATTAATAAACTTGGAGAAAAGAAAGCATAAAACAAAAAAATAAATTTCAAAAGATTTACTCTCAAATGAAAACTAAATATCATCAAACCATAGGAAAGATTATGGATCCGTGTTTTTACTTCAAGCTATTTCTTAGGTTACTTTTTACATTTTCTTTAGTTTGCTCTTCAGAGAAACTGTATCTTTAAAACATTACAAGGAGATTTGCCAATTGGAAGGCTATACTCAAGAAAATGAGAGATAATACAATTCTTAAATAACGTTTGACCAAACCTTTAGGACACTGAGTCATGCAATGGAAAGAAGGCAAGCCCAGTGCCGAGCCTGCATGCTGAATCGCCTGATTTGGCACTCTGTACTACAGTGGGTTCTTCTTTCAGAATTAAGCGGTTCCATAAAAAGAGACTGTTCTTACCCTCATCCTTCCATTCCTTATTGCGGGCCCATCTTCTGCCAATCTCAACACGTACAAATCCATTTTGTATTCTCTTCCTCCACGAATGCTGAATCCAAATCCTTTGGCTCCTTTCTCCATGTCCACAGTGAAATAATCAAAATCCTTTAGAGTTGGGGAGAAAATGGAATAAACAGCTGTTAATATTAGAGAAGCTTCTGTGGTCAGTCTCTCTGTTCTTCTCTCTTATGGTTAATGTGTCCCCAGTGACGTAACATTGTGAGAAAAAGTAATCTGATTTCACCATCTAGTAAAAGGCAAGACGAGATTCCAAAGGTTCAAGAAGATCTGAATGCAGTTGCTTTGGTCATTAAAAAAACCACCGTGGGGGCACCTGGGTGGCTCAGTTGGTTGAGCATCTGCCTTGGCTTCAGGTCATGATCCCAGGGTCCTGGGATCGAGTCCCATGTCGGGCTCCCTGCTCAGCGGGAGGCCTGCTTCTCCCTCCTCCCTGCTTGTGCTCTCTCTCACGATCTCTGTCTCTCTCTCAGATAAATAAAATCTTTAAAAAATAAATAAATAAAAAACTACTGTAGAGCTTGTTTACTTTGGTATTTATCCATTTCCTTGGCAAACGTAATGACTGCATATAGGCCTGAGTGATATTATCTCGCCTTTGAGTTTTCTCATTCCCTGCTGTTGAGTACCATAAATAAATGTATCAGAGCTGTGTTTGTGTGTGTGTGTGAATTACAGGTTTGCTCATTAGGAAACGGAAATGTAATGGGGTCTCTGAGGTACCTGGGGCTGCCTGTAGTCCGCCAGAGGGTATTGCCTGGTGTCCGGGGAGTGCTGCCTGTAGTCCAGCAGGGGAGGCTGCCTGTAGTCCAAGGGTGGGGGTTGCTGGTAGTCCCCACCCGGGGGCTGCCTGTAGTCCAGCGGCGGCTGCCTGTAGTCTGTGAACGGAGGCTGTCGGATGTCTGGTTTCACATCTTGCCTCGCTTTCACTTCTGACCTGTAACTAAATAAATGGAAATGGGATTTGCTCTGATAGCTCAGCACTCTGAGGAGATGAGAATGATCACATGACCTCTAGGCACGTGTGGGCCACAGCTCTTGGTGGTCCTTTTGAGGGTTCAGGACTTTGAGAAAACTATAGATGATACGCAGGAAACAAACTGAGTGTTGTTGGAGTGGGGGGTGGGGTGGGAGGGATGGGGTGACTGGGTGATGGACACTGGGGAGGGTGTGTGCTCTGGTAAGCGCTGTGAATGGTGCAAGACTGTTGAATCTCAGATCTGTACCTCTGAAACAAATAATGCAATATATGTTAAGAAAAAAAGAAGAAGAAGAAGAAGAAGGTAGCGGGAGGGGAAGAATGAAGCGGGGGAAATCGGAGGGGGAGACGAACCATGAGAGACGGTGGACTCTGAAAAACAAACTGAGGGTTCTAGAGGGGAGGGGGGTGGGAGGATGGGTTAGCCTGGTGGTGGGTATTGAGGAGGGCACATTCTGCATGGAGCACTGGGTGTTGTGCACAAACAATGAATCATGGAACACTTCATCTAAAACTAATGATGTAATGTATGGGGATTAACATAAGAATAAAATTTAAAAAAAAAAGAACATCAAAAAATAAAAAAAAAACAACTATAGGTGATAAGTATTATTTCAAAATCTTTGACAAATGCCATACCGTATATATTTCACGTGGCTCCGTAAGAAATCCAGGTAAACATGACGGCTCTACCAGGGCTTTGTGGAAAAGGACGCATGGATACCCCTCTCTGACTTTGCTTACTTAAAAACTTGTACAACTATAGCAAATCTAGGGAGCTAAACACTTAACCATATCTCAAACTATCAGTCTGTCTCAACACCAGTGAACCAACTCTATCACCCTCTCTCTCTCCCACACACCAATCATTACTTCATGAAAGCACAACTGAAGTGACCTCTAAATACTCTATGAACATATAATTAAGCGCTACTTTAACCTGCTAGGTTGGGTCTTTTTGACTATCTTTTAAAGGTTAAAGGAATGATAGCAAAGTCTAATTATCAGCTACAAGTCAAGTAGAAAGTCACTGGGTCATTCCGAAGAGCAGAAACATATTATATAGAGTTTAAATATTAGGCTATAACTATCAGATCAGTATCAGGTGCTATTATCAGATACTATCGTGGCCGTAAGACGAAAGGGAAGGCAAATATGTTTATGTCCGACATTTGTCTCTTTCTTGTTTCCAGATATTACTTACAGTAGCCCTCCACCCACCCATGGGGGTTACATGCCCAAACCGCAGATATTACCGAACCCTGTATAGACTATGTTTTTTCCTATACGTACATACCTATGATAAAGTTTAATTTATAAATTAGGCACAGTGAGAGATTATCAACAGTAATAATAACATAGAACACTTATAATAATATATTGTATTAAAGTTATGTGAGTGTGGTCCCTCTCTCTTTCAAAACACCTTCTTGTCCTGTACTCACCCTTTGTGTGATGATGTGAGCTGACAAAATGCCCGAGTGATGAGATGAAGCGAGCGTCATGACCTAGGCATTAGGATTACACTGTGCAGTGTGAGGCTAGGCTATTACTGACCTTCTGGCAATATGTCAGAAGGAGGATTATCTGCTTTCTGACCGTGGTTGACCTCAGGTAGCTGAAACCATGGAAAGCAAAACTGCAGATTAAGCGGGGGCTAGTGTACTCACAAATAAATACAGAAACCAGAGCTGTTTGTTTAGTGCCGTTCTGTGAATCCAAACTGCTCTAAGCTGAAGGGGTTCCCAGTTCCAAAAGGAGACTAACATAGCTAATGCCTGCCATTGTGGGATCATTCAGAAGGTAAACTGAAAAGTTATCCCTGTAGCATAAAGGCCACTTAATTCTGTAATTCATCGTCTATTGTCACCGCCACGTCCATAAGGAGCTGCTCAGAAATCCAGGAAGATTAAAAAGAATACATTCTATCTAATGACAGTTTTATCTAAAATTAATATAGAGGGTTTGAGGAATTGAGAAAATATTTAGGACCAAGGAAGAACTCAAATGTGTCAGGAAAACAGGATCAAAACCAGTAGAATTTTTATCTTTAAAACCAGATTTTTTGTTGTTGTTTTTACTGGCTTATGGTCTCACTGATGCTGATTATGACTAAATATTTTTAAAAATCACTCACCTGAACAACTGCCATTAGTGCAATCTAATATTTGATGAGGACACACTAAGAATGTCCAGCCATAGATGTATTTATTTGGGGCTTTTGGAAGGGGGTCAGTAATGTTGTTATTTCAATCAACACTTTGAGCAGGTCCCGTTTGTTACTCAACCCTGCAGATGGGACACATTGGGAACTGCACAATTTGGGCTTTGCTTTATACCTCAGCAAGGTGTCCACTCCCGGACTGCGAGTGTGCATGCTGAGAATGGAATTATTTAAATAGGCTTTGAATACGATGCTTAACTGCACAAATGCATGAGTTAAACAAAAGGAGCCCAACTGGCCAGCATTTGTTGGCATGTGTTGATGCCTTCCTAGAAAATTGTTTGGTGGATCAGACGTCACTTTATTTTCACGATCCGGGTGGCAGGGGTATGCCAGAGCCGTCCCATGCCCCCTTTCCAACCAGATGCATCACGAGGTGTAGCAAAAGAGGGTGACACGTAGAGTCTCCCCAAAGACTCCGCAACAGCCCCAGACAGGACCTGTTAAGATGCAACGGCTGTTAGCCATGCCGGCCTCCTGGTGCTCCCCCTGCATTTGACCCCAGGGCCGAGGCTCAGGATTTTACATTGAATTGCACATTGAAGAGTCTTTAATAAGGAAGATATACTTAATTTTTTACGAGCGTTACTAACTTTTAAGTGAACGATACCCTGGCTTGGGCAAAAATTATGTGGCCTTGAACGTGTGAAACACTATTTTCAGGAAAACTCAAGATTATTAAGAAAAAAATATAGCCTCTTTAAACTTCCTTTACTCATGAAAGAAGGTCATTGGTGTAACTCTTTGTAGTTATTAATTCCATTATTAAAGAGATTTTAGAGATAATAAAACCAGATTTCTAGTGGTAAATTCTAGCAGAATTTTAAGGTATGAGCAAGTTCCAGAACCAGGAAACACTGCCCGTGGTAGGGAATCTTGTGGTGGGATTTTGCCTCATGTGGGCCTTTTAAGAATTCCATCCAGCCTTAAGCATCTAGGGTTTGAAGTCTGTGAAGAAGTCAATTTCCAATGCCCTTCCACTGACCTTGCCGTGTAAAACACTGCCAGATATTAATTGCCCTTGCCCGGGAAGGTGAACTCTGTTATTTATACTTTGTTTTGAAATATATTACATAGTGCCTCTTTCATTGTTTTCAACAAATGCTTCTCCTGTTTTGCTCATGTCCATATTAAAACTGTTTTGTTTCCTGAGCATATACCAAAAGGATGTTAAGGGACAGATAAATAAGGAGAGGTGGGCAGGGTGTCAGTAGGAAGCCAAACTGAGAGTAAATAAGATGGGCTAAAATATTCAGTCATCCTTAATTATAAGACAAAAATTTGCAAGCAGATTGCCATTTAATTTTCTCCCACCTTCCCGGGGAACCTGGCTTGATTTGACATGGAGGTAGGGGGGCACTTCCTGTACAAATGAACTAATAGGAGACGCATCCCGGATGCTTGGCATACAAGCTATCTTGGAGACATCTCTAGCCCGATCTAGAGAAAGGCAAAGAGTTCCTGATACCCTGACCATCTTTAAATGCAGCTAGGAACATGATTCTGGAATCTGTAAGATTATCAATCTCTTCATTCATAGGTAAACGAGCCACCTGCTAAACAATCCACAGTGAAGCCAGGAAACCAGGGTGTCAAGAAGGGTCCCTCTAGGAGTCGGCACTTTCCAGGCTTTTAATATTAGTGAAGCAACAATAGCTAAGAACTCTGGGAAAATTCGTTGCCGAGTTATAAAAATTTGAATCAGGTCAATCTGTTAATCCCGGATTAGGAAACATTTTATGCTGTAGTCAGGACAAAAAATATTCCGAAGACTGTTGCTTCTCTGCTAGGGGCCAACGAGTCCCACTTGTGAGCTAGTGGCAGTTGGGGAACAATCGTGACCTCGCCCAAGTGTTATTCTCCCCACTGAACCCCAAAGCCAGAAGCAAGAGCCCACGTCCAGGGGAGTCTGACTCTGGAAAAGTGAGATGGAATTGTGGCTGGGAGATTAGCAGACAGTGGCAGAGCCATCAGAAGAGTCTGAAGCTGGTTCAGAGACAGCGGGCACTCAGCCCCTTCCTCCTGAGTCTGAAGGGGGTCCCGGGGAAAGCCTGCACAATCTGGTGAAACAGCACATAGTGAAAGCGAACACATCGGTGGCTTATTCCTGAGGCACCCAGGACTTAACTCCTTTACAGGTGGTCAAATTCTTACCTCCCTATCATTTGCTTTATGTTCTTAAGTCTTTTTCCTTCCCTGAAATAGATTAAACCCATACGCAGCTGAGGACAACAGACATTTCCCTTCCCATGAAAGCAAAGGGGGGAGCTCCGAGTAGAGGGAGCAGGGCTTTCTGGAAATAACACCTGTGGCAGAGGGAAAATATTTGTTTTGCAACTGTGTGAGTGATGAACCCACAGAGTTCTGGGACTTGGAAATTGGGTCTCACTTCATCTTCACCAACACGGGAGGCAGGAGCTGGGAAGCAGATGTTCAGAAAACATTAGAATTATGGAAAAGACCAGTGGGGGTTTTATACACGGAGATGTTCCTGTGGGTTGTTCTGTTTTTCTCCTCTGAGAGAGGGGACACAGCATGGGAACGTGTCTTCATCTCTTTCTTTAATGGCTCAACCTAACCCAGGTTCCCTGTCACACACGAGTCGCAATAAGAAGACAGTGCTGTTCTTATAGGGCATCCTTTTCTCCTGGAAGTTCCAAGTGCCTTATAGGGCATCCTTTTCTCCTGGAAGTTCCAAGTGCCTTATTTACATTAGTTCATGATGTGGAATGGAAGAACCTCATTAGATCATGGTAGGAGGATATAAGGCAAAACGCAGTAAAAAATGCTAACGTTTATTAATGCTTACAAGTCTGTCCACACTTGCCCCTCTCCATACCAGCATTATTCTCTGAGCCACCACCTTCATTGATCCCAGGACAGCCATTTCTAACTGCTGAATAACCTACATCCACCCTGACCAGCCTACAGTTAGCTCTCCGGGTGGCCAACTGAGAGGCCTTGGAAAGCAAATCCAGTGATGTCACTCTTCAGCATAAAACCCATTCCAATGACTTCTCACCACACTTAAGATCGAAATTTTTGACATGCTTACAAGACCCTGTAGATGGGCCCCTAGCACTCTCACTGGCTTCATCTCAAACCATGTTCCCTGACCTCTTTCCTCACTACGTTGACCTTTGGCACACTCCTTCCTGCCAAAGGGCCTTTGTCTATGTTCTTCACTTGGGACTCTCTTCAATGTGCTCTTCAGCTTAGTTAGCCCTGACTGATCGATAATTGCTCGTCACTTCTTCAGGAGACGTTCTCTTAATGTGAAGAACAGATACTTGTATTTGCTAATAAAATCACACTTGTGACTCACATACAATCTCAAAATCACAGAAAAGCGCACATAGCGATTTCTACTTTATGGAACTTTCTCTTCTGCCTGTGTCCTGTCCTGTCCCAAACTCTCCTTCTCCCCACCCCCCTCACCTCTCCGAGTCAGAAAAGCCAGGGGAAACTTTACCTATTTTCATGTCCTTGTGGCTGAAGTGGCTGAGGAGGAGCTGGTTGGGCAACAGGACTGTTGGGGGTGGCCGGGCTTGGCTGGGCCAGAGGACTCTGCTGGGCCATCGGGCTCTGCTTCTCTGAGCTGGGCGCCGAGGCTGGGCTGTTGAGCTCTGCAAAGGGGAGCCAAAGTGGCAAATGAAGTCAGGTTGGCATCTGATAAAGGGCAAGAGGTGGCCAGAGGTGGTAACTCTTTGCCGCCTCAGAGGACTCAAGGCTTTGGTCATTTCAGTTTCCATTAGACTTTAAGATGGCAGGTTAAACTTATCAATTATCCAATCAAGTTCCAGTACCATTCCCAGAATTAGTATTATGTCATTAGTTATAAGTGTTGCCGAACAAGGTTATAAACAGAGTCTCCTGTCATTTTGTCTGGAGAAAAGATTACGATTTAAAAAAAAAAACCTGTTAAAACAATGAAAAAATAATCCAAAGGAGTTAGCTTTAAAACATATTCCATTTTTCCAGTGTTGCCCCCTGACAGAAAACATTTAAGCCACTACTTTTTGGTTGTAATGACAAGTCCTACTGGTATTCCAAAGTTTGGATAAGGAACTAAATATAACCGAAATAAATGCTTTTCACAATCTTCTCTCTAGTTCCTTGTTAGTCTTATTGTTTAATAACCCCCTGAACTCCATGGTTCTTCAGGAAAAAAAAAGAACATTGGACAGAAGAATGTTCATAAAGTTGTTCTTTGTTAAAACAGCTTCTCGGATTTTCCTGTAATAGCATCACATGTTCAACTGAAATTATCTGTGTATGATGTGATAGAAACAGGACAGACATACTTCAGCCTGGAGAAAATGGAAAAGCGAGTCAGATTTTTAGTGAGCAATCTTGCTTAGAGTTAATTTCTATCGACTATTTTAGACATAATGGTGTCTGCAAATAACAGGTTTTGTTCTGTTCTTTTTATTTGGTTGGGTGATCAAAAGGAGGCAATCTATTCCTTTACAAGCCACTCTTCCCCTTTCTTCTCTGACAGCCCAAATTTTAAAATTTCTTTTCCCCTGGAAGTGTTTCTCAACCTCAGCACTGTTGACATTTTGGGCCAACCCATCCCTCTCCATGGGGGATGCTGTGATCCACTCACCAGTGAGCTCCAGGGACTGCGTTCTGGAACGTCATTAGTGAGTCAACAGCTACAAACCAGTAATGAACCCCCTGTGTTTGGAAACGGTGACTTTATGGTGAATGGGTACTTAGATCCTTGTGGCCCTCAAGGCATGGCTGTGAGTTGTGATGCTCACTACTCTTCAAGCCTCAGGGGGGAGTCCTTATACAGAGAAATTCAAAAGACTAAGTGGGAATTTAAAATTCTTATCAGATGCAATGTTTTCTAAATGAGCTCTCTTTATACCACAAAACTTCCTCAAGCTTTTCAAAAATCAATCTGACTTTGAAGAATCCTCCAGAGCTTAACTGTTAACATGAATACTTTTCTTTTTTCTTGTTCAGATTTGTGACTCTATCATCTCTGTTAAATGGGTTCTGGCTTAATATCATAAAAAAAACAGTACTCCCGGGGTTAACAGGGGATGATTTGAATAACCCAGTGTCTTGGGATTCACACTATTTATCTATAATGTCACACAGCTTGATCCCTGAATGCAACTGGTACTGAGTAAATGGGATCTGCATTTTTGCAAATGTGGAAATAAGACTCCACTTTGGCCACTCTGGCACTCCATGGATGGCAGCCTGGCTCAGGCACTCACCCTCCTGAGGAATGATGCGGAGGGTGACACTGAGACCTGCGTCCTTGATGAGCTTCACGATGTCTGCATGAGGCATGTTGATGATGGACTGGCCGTTCACTGCCAAGATCCGGTCTCCCACTTTCAGTTTTGCACAACGATCTGCGGGACTCCCATCGATGATGCGTCCGATTTTATGGGGCACAGCTAGAACAATCCCCAACAGAATCAGATATCAGGGGTGTTCCCAACACATCTTCTATCTTTGAGTCCCAGCCCCACAGGAAACAATGCGATGGAATAAATCTTCCTTTCATCAGTAAATCTGCCTTTTGAAATCATAATCACACCTATGAAAGGGGGTCCTGTGAGGTCAGAATTTCTAAATTCAGGCCCTGTGCAGTGGAACTGGATGGACCAACTCCAAATACATGGACCAGGGGTTCTCACACTTCCAAGCATCATAATCACCCGAGGATTAAATGTACAGCTCTCTGGGCCTTACCCCAGCCTTGTCCATCAGAATGTCTAGGCAGCAGGTGAGAATCATGAATTTTTAAGAAGCTCCTCAAGACATTTCAAGACATACAAAATTTTGAGAACTGCAGGCATAAACTATTGTGAGCTCATACCATAGAGACAATAATCCACAGTTTCAGAAAGATACGATAAATGCCAAGAATTTAATTTCTACCCTTTTCCATTTTACTGAGAGAAGAAAACAGGGAAGGAAAGAAATCTATATTAACATGGGCTGGCAGCTGGTCAAGAAGCTATGCTCAATCTCCCATCAGTTACTAAGTTTCAGTTTCAAGTTGATGCAATTTGCAAATCTTACCTCTTCTTTCTGATTTACTTTATTAAGTGGTGCTGAGATCTTGCTGATGCCTGATGCATAATATATTTCATCAAATCTAAGACGCCATTACGACCTACTTTTGTTTTAGGGAAAGAAAGGAAAGAAAAAGAAAGAAAGAAAGAAAGAAAGAAAGAAAGAAAGAAAGAAAGAAAGAAAGAAAGGAAGGAAGGAAGAAAGAAAGAAGGAAAGAAAAGGAAGAAAGAAACAAAGAAAGGAAAGATGAAAGAAGAAGAAGAAAGAAAGAAAGAAAGAAAAGAAAGAAAGAAAGAAAGAAAGAAAGAAAGAAAGAAAGAAAGAAAGAAAGAAAGAAATCAACTCTTCTGATTAAACTGACACCCCATGGACTGTAAGAGGTTGTATAATTTTTTAGATACTAAAATAAGAAAATGTGCATTGGATTGATCAAATAGGGTATATGCCTCTTTAAAACAATGAAAACTTATTTTCTTTTTTGTTATTTATTTATATATGTAGGGACAGCCAGGTACATGAGGATAAAGATTTTTTAGCAGGTTGACTTCTGTTCACTGTAAATGTGTGAATGCCTGTAAGGATAACTATTTCTGGAGTCGGTATCAATGGCACACAGAGTCCTTTAACGGCCCTCCTGCCCCAAGGAGTTTACAATCTAGAAACCTGTTCCTTTTCCTTTCTCCCTTCTAGACAGGGAGCCGCAGCCAGGAAATCACCTGTCAGTGACTCTGCATTGTTGCTCTCCCCATGGACGTCAGCTACTGATTTATCTGCGTAAAGAGGCAGAGACACTCCACCATTTGTTATGCTCCAGGAATGTCTGTTCCCTGAACTCTCAATCTTATGTATGTGTTAGCGAAAGGCAGAACATCAGCTAATAACCACGGTAAGGAAGGACAATCAGTGAGTCAATGAACCAGCACCTTGAACCTATTTCCATTGTGAAAGGTTATAGATAGCATATGAAAATATTGGCTGAGCCCGTGTTTCTGAAGTCAAACACATCATGTTGGAAGCTCAAACACCTTTTTATCTACCACAGGCAATGGCTTTAATCGAGACCACCTTACTTAAAGCATACTAAAGATCATCTTAGGCTCTCGGGACAAGGTACTTCTCAAGCAGAAATGTAATAAGAACTCATTCATTTAACTTATTTTAAAAAATAAGGTATTGCAAGTTGCTTGGTCTTCTACCATAATGAGAGTGAACATTCGTTCCTGTTTTTGCCCCCTTTCAGTTCAGTACTGCCCTGAACCATCAACACATGACACGGTCTCCCTGGTTTCCCACGTGTCTATTGCTATGTTTCATGTGATCCTTGGAAAGTTACCTGACCTCTCTGAGTTTGTTTTTCAATAGGAAAATTGGAATAATATATCACTGACTTCACAGGATGGTTCCAAGAATCAAATGAGTTGTCCTATGTAAAGTGACTAGGACAGTGCCTGGTGTAAGAATTGATCTGTAAGTTTTCACTTTTCTTTCATTCTTTTTATGACTATTATCTTTTTAATGGTTCTGATATCACTACTGATGTGTGTGTGTGCTTGTGTGTAGGTCCCAGCTTGAATTCTTCCTATGTGGCATAAACCCGTCATACTGCTAAAACTGAAGAAATGGTTTGCTTATGATACAACAGTATCTCCTAAGTATCATCCCAGGAAAACAGCTTCATTTGGGAAAGAGAGATGTGTGTGTGGGGGGGATTATATATAGATGTTAGATGAGGGCAAGCGTCCTGTTTGTTTTTCTCTGGTTTTCCAAAAAAGATGTTGCAGGTCTCTGCAGGAAAACACCAGTTTATAAGTAAGAGTTTATTATTCAAAGGGAAATCAGTATAATACAGATGCTCTCATTATCTGCCTCGAGCCTTACATGCGCGCACACACACAATTATAACCACATTAATATATATATAATTTTATCCTTAACAGATCATGTGAGATACCCGATGACATTACTACCACATGTTCAGAGTGGAAGAAACCGAGGTATAGTCATTAGCAATTTGCCCAAGGTCACAAAGTCCATCCACGATTTAGAATCCCTGTCTGTCAGATTCCATAGGCTTTGCTCTTTCTTAACCATGGCACCATACCGGGTCTCTTGACTTTGTGGTCTCTTCTCCCCATGCAAGCACTTGCTTCATGAGCACCCAGTGCTTGTATGTGGTGAGTGCAGCCTGCCTCTAAGCAGGGAGGCACAAACACTTCACCAGTGGCCCTCATCCAGGGGAGAGTGGGAGGCAGAAACTTTGCTTGAAGCTGGTTCTTTGTGGCCACTGTCTTTTGATGGGCAGGGCATGAGGAGGAAGGGAGAGGGGAAGAGAGGAAGGGAGAGGAAACTGGACAGCTCCTCAGATCCCTTTTACTTGGGACTTCGCATCATGGTGTCATTCCTTTATTTGAAGTCATTTCTTTGGGCATTAGAAATACATTTGAAATGAAATTTAAAAATACACTTTAAAACACATACAGCTGGTATTTGGATGATTTGCTGTTTTGAATCATCCATACCTCTAATCCCCTCCATTACAGAGGATCATTTAGAATCTACTGGGTATAAAATCCCAAATGTTTCAAAATATAGATTTCACACACACACACACACACACACAATTTTATGAGCTCAACAGCAATAAAAACAAAAACAGTAAGTTATCATTTGTTAATTTCCAGGCACTGTGCTAAGCACTTACTTTAAATCCTTACGGCAACAGTGTGAAGTAGCTATAAAAGTATAATAATCATGTTCATTTTATTGTTAAGAAAACAAAGAAGTGTCAAAGCCAGAATTCAAACCTATGCATATAGCTTGAATCCTTCGGGTTATTCCCTCCTTTTTTTGATACATGCCAGGTTGGAAGCAATTTGAATTATGAGGACTGCGGGAATGGCTGGTAAGATTTAGCTTAGGAAAGTGTGCTACTTGAGATTTTGAGATGAAAGTTTCATTGTAAACAGATTCATTTGCTTATAATGATAACTCTTGGGTTCAAGGCCACTTTCACTTCACCATGGCAGGTAGAATAAAAACTAAACTAAAATAATAAAAACTAAAGTGAAATAAGGAAAACTGAAATCAATCTTATGGTAGCCACTTAGAATGATTGAGTGGCTTACATAAAATTTGAGTACACGACTTAAAAAGGTCTGCCCATAATTGCAAGTATCTGACATAGTTTTGTTAAAATTGTTTTCTATTGGCATTTACTTTAGTAAAAACAGTGCTTGAAACTCCTGGCAGCTGAAGACAGCTTCACGTTTCCTTTACCAGCATTTTCCCTACACATGTAAGGACACTGAACGTTCATGTACAACAAATCATTGACAAGGGTTGTGCTCACAGAGGATTCTCTCTGAAAACAAGATGCAGTTCCATTTGCTCAGTTATCAGGTCTACAGAACTTATGACCCAAGTGCTTTCTGTGCATTGCTAATGGAATTACAGAGCACGGAAGAGGCCCTGACCTTCGTTTCTATTATTGGGATGAATGGTACTCGTTAATTCTCTCAGAATTGATGACTAAGGGAACTGCCGGAGCATAGTCCATTTAGACAGCATGCCTTCCAGACATCATCTGTCAGGCAGCAACATAAATCAAGCCTTTGGACCAGTCTTCTTGACACAGTGTGCTTAGGATACACAGATATTTGGGAAAAGTTGCAATATGTCATGCAGCTTTGAACATACTGACATTTGGGAAGGAGACAATGTATCATTACTTAGGAATTTCCCCTTTAACTGCAAATCACATAAATTATGGAAAAAGAAACCCATTTTTTTTTCTTTATTTCTTTGTGGGTAAAACACTATGCCACATTTATATTTTATATTATAAAATTTTATATTTTCAATTTCATTTTTTCCTGTAGATGAACTAACTCTGGCACTGCTCAACCATAGCACCCTTGTTTTAGTGGGGCTGTTCAGAGACAGGTGGACTGGATGCTAGGTTTGTTCTAAAGGTCTGGAATCTCTGGGTCTTTGGCCACACTGCTACAGGATGTAATGATCCTCCCTTTTGGCTATTGGTTCTCTTCTGGGACCTTTGTATGGTTTATCCAGGCTCCTTCAGCCATTGGTTAACCAATGAGCTCTTCTTGAGTTCTACCTTGGGTTCATTCCCATAAAGAAGATGAGACTATTGCCTGGATGACTTTTCTTGCTTTGGCAATAGATTCTTTCTGAAATTTTTTGTGATGGATTCTTCCTGAAATTCTCAGCTGCATCTGTGGGAAGGACCCCCACACTTTTTTTCCCCCATGTTTCTTTGTTGTTTTTTATGTATTTTATTTCAGAGAAGGAAAACGTGTGACTCATGTTTATTCATGTTTACACATAATTACTTCCTTGTTAATCGATCCACAAA